TTCTTAGTATTTTTTAGATATTATTATTCTTTATTCTCTATTAATTAAAGATAATATAATAAATTTAGATTATGTATTAGAAATTAAATCTTCTTATTATATTATAGCTATAGTATAAGTTATTAAGTTATTTAAATTTTTATTATTATTATAAATTAGCTTAAGAATTAATACCTAGGCTATTTTTATATTATATTTCTATTTAAAGAAAATATAATTATTTATAATATTACTAGTTACTTCTTTCTAAGTACTTTTTAAATTTAGTTTCTAAAGTCTAGTAATAAAATACTTCTTTTCTTATAGTTATTTATTAATATATTCTTCTTTTTTAAGAGTTTCTTTTAATATATAGAAATTAGTAGTAAGCAATTAATAAATATTAAAAGTTAATCTATTATTATTATATCTAGATTAAATTATAATAATAATTTTAAATTAAATAGCAATTTAAGATTTATTATTATTATTATTATACTAATAGTTAGTAAATTATATACTTTTATTTTTTAATATAAACTTATACTTTTAATTAGATTTTAAGATATAATATTTACTTTTAAAGTAGCTTATCTTTTTATAATTTTAATATTTAACTTTTAAGTAATTCTTTTAAGTAACTTCTAAATTTATAGATTTTAATACTATTTTATAGAAAGTATTATTCTGGTATTTCTTTTCTTAGTTAATATTATTCTTCTTACTCTTTTAAAATAGTATATAGAATATTCGTTCTGATTTTTGAATCTTTTTTTCTTATTATCTTTTAAATTATTAGTTATTAATTTTTATAGAGAGAGTAATAAGAATATTAAAAGTTATAAACTTATATCTAACTATTATATTTTTAACTTCTAACTTAACCTTTTTATAATAAGCTACTATATATACCTCTTCTTTTTAATTTAGGTATAAGATATTATTATAAAATTCTACTATATAATTTAATATTAATACTATAAGAATTAGATTTAATCTAAGAGTATAAAATAGATTTAAGATATATAATATATAATTAAGTAAATTAGGATATTATAATAAGTAATATAAATTACAATCTAGTAATAGTAAAATAGTAGATTTAATATAATTAAGTATATTAATAACTAGTAAGACTATCTATTTATAAAAGTACTTAAAAGAGTATTTATATACTAAATAGAAATTAGCTAAATTATATAGAGTATTAAATTCTAATAATTCTAGAATTGTAATAATCTAGAATTATAAGTATAATTCTTAATATAATACTCTATATATTATTAAATAGGAAAAGTAGGTATTTATAGGATTATTACTAGAGTTAACTGCCTAGTTAATTTAGGCTGTAATAAATATCTTTTAAATAAGTTTTTAGAGTTATATTTAAACTGCTTATTTTTTTATTAATAAGATTAAATATATCTTATAATTCTTATTTAAATATTTTATAGCTAGTATAAATAGCTTTAATTTTATCTTTCTATATATATTAAGAATTATTTAGGTAGTCTTTTATAACTAATTTAAAATATTAAAATATTTTATTTTTAAGAAGTTTTATAATATAATAGATCTTAGCTTCTTTTTTAGTAAATTATATAAAGTAGTAACTTTAAAATACCTTAATTTATATAAGAAATTCTTAAAAATTAGTAGCTATTCTATTAAATAGATTAAGTTATTTAAATCTAAGAATTTCTTTTATATTTTTTTTATTTACTATAAGAAAGTTTAGATAGATAATATAATTACAGTAAAATACCTCTTAATAAATAAATTTCTATTAAAATAGTTATTTTATATTAAAAGCTAGATAACTTATTTTATTAGCTTATTAATTTTATTATTTTTCTCTAAATCTTTTTTAATAGAAATCTTAATAAGCTTATTAAATTTAACTTTAAAGTAATTATTTTACTTTTAAAGTTTATTAAGATCTTTTTTAATAACTTTATTATTAAAGTTAGATTTATTTATATTTATATTATTAATAGAATCTTAACTCTATATTATTAGAATAATAAAAATTTTTCCAAATCTAAATAAGATATTTAAAGTTATAAAAGCTATCTTAGCTTATTTAAGATATTACTTAAGTTAATATAATAATATACTAAATAAAAGCTATTAATATATAATAATGAGATTTAATCTAAGAATATAAAGTAAATTTGAGGTATATAATATATAATTAAGTAGATTAGAATATTATAATAAGTAATATAAATTATAATTTAATAATAGTAAAATAGTAGATTTAATATAACTAAGTATATTAATAGCTAATAAGGCTATCTATTTATAAAAATACTAAATAAGTATTTATATACTAGTAATATTTATATAGGCTTATTAAGTAAGAGTAAATTTAATCTTATAGCTTATTTAGGAGGAGTAAGTTAAGTGCCCTAGCTTACTTATATAGGGTAAGTTTAAAATCTGTATTAGGTAAAAAAGTAGGTATATTATAATTTTGCTAGTTATAATTACTTAATCTTAATTTAAGCTATAATATATAGCTTTAAGTTTTGTAGCTTATATATTAATTTCCTCTTTAAAAGCCTATTCTAGCTAAATAGAGATTTTTATAGCTTAATTTAATAAAAAAAAAGAATTTAAAAAGCTAAATTAAGTTATTAATTATATAAATATAATTTAAAAAAACCTTAATAAGAGAGTAATTTATCTATATAGTTACTTATTTTACTATAGTAGGTTTTAGAAATTATTATTTAACAGCAGAAAATAAATCTAGATATAACTTATTTTTATATCTAATTAAGATACTAGTTTTTTCTCTAATTAGAAAAATAAGAGTAAGATTGCTATTAAGAAGAAAATATTAGATATTTTTTACTTTAATACTTATTATATTATAGATATAACAGTTAGGCTTATATTAAAAGGTCTAGAATAGATCTAAGGTATGTATTTAATAATCAAATAAATCAGAACATTATAGTAAATAATATAGGTTACTATCTAGTAATAGTAGAATTATAGATTCAATATAACCAAGTATGTTAATAGCTGGTAAGGCTATCCCTATAAAAGTGCTAAATGAATGTGTATATATACTGGGGTGTCTAAATGGATTACAGTTAAGGACTGTAATTCATCTTCCTGGGTTATGGTTTGGAATTGTGATTCTGTTATTGGATTACAGTTTACAATTGTAATCCGTTGCTGGGATTACAGTTTCGAATTGTGATTTGACGGAATTGGTTAGAAATTGGTGGGAGCGGACATGGTTAGTCAGTCGTTATGTGATCTATGCAGACCGGCTTGTGACAATAGAAGAATAAGTAATAGAAGTTTATAATTATATAATAATATAGAATAGCTTTAGAGATAGTATTTTTTTAATATATCTATCTTAGATTAAATAGCAAGTAAAATAGTAGATAATATAAGTCTTCTTAAGAATCTAGAAAGACTGGGCCGATAATAATTAACGGTTATACCGGTTGAAGGGGCGCAGTATAATACACGAAGAAAGACAAAGACATAAAACGGATGTAGAGTTCATATACTAAAGGACGATAACCCTTGTTGGTATGAGTAATATCGGTTTGCAATATTCGATTAAGTCCTCGAGTTCCTCGCTACAAACCCTAACCTTGTTGATTATCCAGCTCAGACCCGCAATTTGTCTTCACAACCTACACGCATTGACTGCCTGCAATTTGTCTACAGACGCCACACTTTCAACTGGTCCGAGTTAGTTGCATCTGATTGATTACCTAAGGTAAGGCAGACTAGGGGCGACTGATACACTGGCGCCCCCCACAGATGCGCAATCTGGTTGGCTGAAAATTCCCCACACTATGACGCAGCACCAAGACTTTGGATAACTGGAGTGACTGGTGGGGCTGGTATAACAGCACTAACAGCTGAAGATTCCCATTGCAATAACAACCGTCATGGATAGCTGAGTTAGTATCGCTCTTTCCATGGATCGTAAAGAGTGGGATATTAGAGTCGCTTTTTATCAATTAAATGAAAATTTTGAGCCAAAGAGTACGTGCATACGCTCTCGTCCTGCCCCTCACATCCCGTTTGAGTAGGTCTAAGGGAACCGACTTCACGCAGGCAGCTATGCGCTCCGCCGTACTCTGGTAACGTGTTCAAAGCAAAATAATGCGCTCAGGGGTTCAAAACTGTTCAATCCACGATTATACTACATCGAGGCCTGGACCCTGATCCATAGAGCCTAGATTGATATCATCGTCCTGATCCTCATAGTGATAATCCCCCAGGTTAGGGTCAGGCTGCGAGCTGCATTTCCTCCGCAATTGACTGGTCCGGTTGGGCCTCTTCCACCTGGTTCAGCAGCTGGCCCAATTCCTCACTACTGACTAGCAATAGGTCGTCTTTCAGCTGAGTGATGTCCTCATTGAATTGTTCGTCTTCATTGAAAATGACGTCTCGTAGAAATGATCTTCCCCGTAGCCGGGTTCCAGACACTCGATCGGGGGTGGATATTCGTATCCTTCCTCGGAAGCAGTACCGTCGGGAGCAATCATGGCTGGGCTTACAGAATCATGAGTGAGTCTCCTTTACGGAATCGTTCGGTAGGAGCACCTTGTTCCTGCATAAGGTCGAGAGCCGCATCCAATAACGTAATGTGTGAAAGATGAGCATGGTTTTGTTGCTCTACCGGAACGCTCGACTTCAACCGTGCGGTTACGTAGGGTTTGCTGCCGCTGTCGCCTAGTCGCTAAAAAGAGGACAGCACGAGGGGCAAGGCTCTAGATCGGCGACGCATCCTAGGCCCCCCAAACTTCATGTTGCAATCTATGTACTATCTCCTGGCTTAGTCAGAAAACGCGCCCAGGCGCCAGTGTATCAGTCGCTGGCGACCTAGACGGTGCTTACAAAACACCCGGCCACGAGAGCGCTGCATACCCCCCCGCAGGATTGCAATTAAACTTTAATTACTCAAACTCCGCCTTAAAAGAGGACGTGATACGCATGCTCTCTATTGCGAGTCATCCATCAATACCACAAATTCAAACATGGTGCTGTTCAATCCAGACAAAGACATTCCGGACCTCTCGGGCAAGATCATCCTCGTGACCGGGGGGAATATTAGCCTAGGCAAGCAGACCATCCTGCAGCTCAGTAAGCATAACCCAGCATACATCTTCCTCGCCGCGCGTATAGAGTCCAAGGCCCTGGCTGCAATTGAGGATATATACAAGGCTATACTAGATGCAGCGCCTATTATATACCTCAACCTTAATCTTATATCCTTTAATAGTATCAAAAAGGCTACTAAGAATTTCTACGTCTAATTGTAGCAGTTTTATATTCTTATTAATAACAGTGGCATTATAGCCACTCTAGCTAGTACCATCAAAGAGGGCTATGAGATCCAGTTCGGCATCAACTACGTCGGCTATGCGCTCCTCATGAAGATCCTCCTCCCCACCCTCAAGAAGACAGCCGCAGCTACCACACCGCCCCAGAACGTCTGCATCATCAATCTCTCCTCCTCCTTTAAGAATAAAGCGCCCGCCACCAACACCTACAAGTTCGACAAGCTCAAGATAGATATGGCTTCCACCCCGACATTCGTCCGCTATGGCATCTCAAAGATCGCCAACATCCACCACGCCCGCGCCCTCTCCCGCCGCCACCTCGAGATCCGCTCAATTGCCGTGCACCCGGGCGTCGTCAACACCAATCTCACGAACGGCCCGGCTGCTAGTTAGCCTATTATAAAGCTCATCCTACCCCTAGCTGGTGTTTTTTCTACGAATGTATGGAACGGCACTAAGAATTAGTTGTGGGCTGCTGTTAATCCCGATGCTAAGTCGGGCGAGTTCTACTATCCCGTCGGCGTCACAGGCAAAGGGACTAAGCAGTCGGGTGATAAGGCTCTCTCGAGGAGGCGCTCTGGGACTGGACCGAGAAGGAGCTCGAGGGGCATGCATGAGTAGTTTTTGTAATCAGGAATTCGTACGTTGAGTCAACGTCCCACAAACTGCCATATGCCTCAATACGGCCCCTTTTGCGTATTCGTCTTTGGGCGTCGCCCTCAAGCATCCGGAGTGCTCCCTCGAAGTCAACAAGCACGTTGTCCATCAACTCAATAACATTCCAATCGTTTTCGTTCAGAAGACTCTCCTCGCGGAGACACAAGGGCATCTCTTCCCTCCTCCTAGTTTCCTATTAAATTCAATCGTGGCCTTCTCAACGAGGTCTTCGAGGAAGGGCCGCAACCTAAGGCCCTACCGCATCATGTAGAGCGTCGAGAACCAGCGAGTCTGGTTATCGCGGACAACGTCCAAAGGTTTCCTTGCTCGAGTCTTCGGACTGTCAGAGTGTTGAAAGAACTATTCCTGAAGATCATGAAGCCAATTCGTCAACTTGTCGGACCGATGGATCCAGTGAACCAGATTGTGGAGCTTGCCGACGGTGCCTTTCTTTCGCCAGAGTTCGTGCTATTTTGTCCTTGATAACGCTTCCGGCAATGAGACTGCGATGGAGCACTTAGCTCAAAGGTCCCAGTGGGGCAGTTCTAGAGCCAGTAGGGTCCGCTGCTTTGGACACGTTGTCCATTTGGTTGCTCGGGCGATGCTCTTCGGCCAAGATGATGTATGACGCATCCGTAGCCTCTTCTACTGGAGCGAGTGTGCCCTCATTAGCTTGGTTCAGGTGACGCGAAGCAAGTGGGTCGCGTCTTTTTGTCACGCACAAACTGATCTGTTGACTATTGGCCACGTCTTGTCCGTCTTGGATTGGACAACTGCCACGGCGAGCCGTTTGCGAGTCCTCCGTTTCTGTCAACTGGATAGGTAGGATTGAGGTGTCGACGAGATGGGTGCCCTGACCGGGGGGCTGGGGGCTGTCCCGATCGCTGATAAATCATGTGCAAAGTATTGTTGTTCCTAGCTAAAGCGGCAGACGGGCTGTCTCGGGAGAGATCAGCTGTGTCGCTAGCTGCCTTACCTTTTGGGCGTGAATTGGGAGACCGCTTGAACAGGCTTGTGACACCTTGTTCCACCAAACTGTGCAAGACAAATTGCGGAGGCCCTAGTCTGTTTACCTTACCTAGGTAATCGGATGAGATGTAGGCTCTGTTTGATTACCTGACGCAACATGGGCGTGGATTGTGAAGACAAATTGCGGGTCTGGGCTAGATGATCAACCAGTCGCGGTTGTACATCGTATCGAGGCTTGACTGACTTGTCGGCTCCGTCCATACCTAGCTAGCCATTAGACACAAAGCAACGAATGGCTTTGAACATGCGCAATATGTTTACTAAGCTGTGTACTGCCGATCTCCAGGAGAATTATTGGCCTCCCATGTATGAGAAAGACCGCCGCGGACGAGCTTGAAAGGATTATGATACCTTTTGCTCGCCAATCGCCATCAGTACAAGAAGCGTACATGACCCGATGAACCGTCTCACATCTCTCTTCCTGGACATCCTCATCAAACAGAGCTTATGCGTCATCTGAACCCTTGATATCCACAACCTCGAAACGCAATGATTCCCCAGACTCAGAAGCAGTGGGTAGTGCGCGCCAGCGGCAGCGGCGGCTTCGACTCCCTCCAATTTGAGACGGAAGCTCCAATCCCGCACGTTGGCGATCGCGATGTACTGGTTCAAAGTACGGGCATCAACATCCATCTAACCTTTCGCCACACCTTGCAGAGGCTGACAAACATGCGTTAGTTCATGCTGTCTCGTTGAACTTCCGCGACCTGATTATAGCAAGGGTAATAAGCCAGCCCCAATTCCTTCAACCTCCATCACCTAATCCTCCCTCAAAACACAAGTTCTCTTTCTCACCACAGACTCCTGACCATGACAATAGGGCCTATACCCATTCCCGCACCAAGACAATCTTGTGCCATTGTCCGATGGAGCTGGTGTCGTTGTAGCCGTCGGTTTTAGCGTGAGCCGGTTCCAAATCGGCGATCGGGTGGCGACCCTATTCCACCAGGATCACCTCGCAGGACCCATTGATGCTAAGGCTCGCGACAGCGCCCTCGGGAGCTCCCTTCATGGTGTCTTGAGAGAGTATGGCGTATTTTCGGAACAAGGCCTCGTCAGTGTTCCGGGAAATCTCAACCTCCTGGAAGCTGCGTCACTGCCGTGCGCTGCATTGACCGCTTGGAGCGCCCTCTATGGTCTCGAAGGAAGGGCACTGAAGCCGGGCGACACGGTGCTTACCGAGGGCACAGGCGGTGTTAGCAATTTTGCTATTCAGGTACGCAGCTGTCGACCCAAGCAAACAAGGCTTCACGCGTTGAGACTAATGTCATCCAAGTTTGCCAAGTCCGCTGGTGCTAAAGTCATAGCAACTACATCATCTGATGAGAAGGCTAAACGGCTCAGAGACCTTGGCGCCGACTTCGTGATTAACTACAAGGAAAACCCTGAATGGGGCCAGCTTGCAAGGGGTATGACACCCAACGACGAGGGGGTCTCTCTGGTTGTCGAGGTTGGGGGTCCAAACACTCTGAGACAGGTAAGCGCCTTGTGCAGAACTCAACAGACCCCCCTTCAAGACTCAATTAACTAATTACCCTAACTAATTGCAAGGCTCTCACTGCTCTGAAGCTTGATGGCTTGATCTCGATGGTTGGTTCGATCAGCGGGTTCACCTCGCCTGGTGACACAAAGGAGCCGACATTCCTCGAGACGGTCATTGGCTCCTGCACTGTACGAGGAATAGCAGTCGGCTCAAGACTCCAATTTGAGGATATGAATCGTGCTATTGAAGCCAATGACATCCATCCTGTGCTAGATGGACGGATTTTTAGCTTGGCGGAAGCTCGAGAAGCTTTTGAGTATCTATGGAACCAGCACCATTTTGGGAAGGTTATCCTTCAAGTTGTTTAGCTAGACGTTATTGGTAAACCTGTTAGCTTTATCTATATGAGGCACGGATACTTTGCCCTATCAATCAACTTGATTTGGGGATCACCAAATAACATGACTAAATGCATCTTACCCAGTAGGCAGTAGCTCTAACTGAAGTAACAAATCCGTGCAGGATGCCACACATGAAGGCGAGGACTGGTCGGATGAGGCTAAGCAGTGTGGCGATGCATTAGAGCGTCGGCTTTGATGTAGACGCCGAGGCCAACGCACACCATCGCCTGGTACCCATATACTTCTTGTAGAGAAGCAGCGTCTGATTTCCTGCTTGATGGTGACTATGAAGTATTTTCGCTGAAGCTTGTAGATTCTGATTTAGACTCAATAGATGGCAGGCAAGACGTAGAATTTCTATAAGCAACCACTAGACATGTATGCTTTGTTTTTCGGAGCTTAGAAAAGAAAGAGATTTGGTCTCCCTATATTGCAGGCTAGCCGCAGCTTTCATTGTGAGAACTCCCTCCTGCTGTGTTCTTCTTCTGTAATCATCTCCTTCTGCTTGACAGTCTCCTGGCGGTATTCGTCCAGGAGAAACTGATTGAGGTCCTTTTGGAGTTTTTGTTCTTCAAGTTGCTTGCAAATTTCAAGCTTTTTATTACAAATCGAGGTGATATCTCTAATAAGAGAACTGTAGTTTGCTTTTTGGAAGTTAGTTTCTAATTGTGCCTTTGTACGTATTGAAGCTGTTTGCAAAGCGATGCATTTTACTTTAGCAAGTCTTATATTACAGGCTAGAAGTAGTCGGGCTTCCTAAGATAAAAGAGGGTCACCTTTAGAACCGTGTGTTTTTGACTCTCCAAGCATAGTCACCCATGCTTGCCCCAGTTGGTGAAGCTAGCCCACACAGTAAGTGGAACCATGACCGCTTAAGGCAACAGATTTTCTCGGCGAGAAAATCTCGCTTCGCCATCCTCCCTCGGCTACCCCGGAGGGAGGGCTTGAGTCTGTTTACGCGGTATGAAACCAACTTGCCCCTGAGACCACCACAAAGGAGGATTCATGCTGATGTCTTACTCTGCATCCTAGCAAGGGGCCTCATAAACTACGAGGCCTCAGGTGGTATGCCAGGGATAGGAAACGCAAACTTAAGGAAGCAGCTTCAGAAAGGTACGAGAAAGCAGGCTTGCAAACAAATAAATTAAATTAAATCCATCCTCCAATTTGATTTGATTTGGATATAAAAATGTTCAATTTGGTTTAATTTGAATTAATTTGGATCGATTTGGATCGATTTGGATATTTAGATAGCCCCACTTTTCTCCTACAATAAGATATATTAAGCTGCTCTGATAATATCCGCTTAGGGTCGGCCCCTTTAAGCTATAACTATCTATTCTATAAGGCTGAATATTTACTCCAGCTTGGTAGATATAGTAGGATTTAAAAGGAGATTAATTGCTATTTGCAATAGATATAGATACTGCTATCTTTAAAGAAGCTAATATTAAATTGAATTATCTACTAAATAATTACTAGGGTTAGTAGTAGCTACCTACTCTGTATACTTATTATATATAGCTAGTAGTAAAGATATAGGCTGTATACTAAGCTTTTTAATTAGAGCTATAAAGTTATCTAAATTAGTTATCTTTTTTAGAATAGTTAGCTGCTCAGATATTATTTCCTGCTTAATAGGGAGATTTTGTTACTTCTTTTATAGCTCTTATATAGCTATTTTTTCTTATACTAGCCAATCTGGATAATTACTCTATTATAACTTAACAGTTAACTAGTAAAAGGCAGAATAGAAAATAAGAACTGCGAGATATATAGGGCTATCTTTAATAAGAGTATAATATCAGTCTAACTTTATCCAGCTGAGATTGCAATTAATCTATAGGTATAGTTCTTTATCTAGTTTATATTATACCTTAAACTCTTTTAGATATTTTAGAAGCTATTCTATTATAAGTAAAACCTCCTAGATTATACCAAATTTACTTAAAATTATAAGTATAAGCTAAGTATCAGAAGGCTAGATTCAGCTTATCTTCCTTAAATCAGCCTTCTAGATACTTAGTAGCTATCTTTAATAGCTTTAATATAGCTAGATACTCTACAATTATAAACCAGTCCTTAGCAGATATCTTATTATTAACAATTACAGGCTTAGTATAACAGGCAGTCAGGGATGCTTAGGCTAGCTAGTCGCTAGCGGGGATGTCTCTAGGGTAGTCTGGATCAGGTTAAAAGGGAGGAAAGGAACCTATGCTGGAGAAGAGGGGCATTGGTTTTTAATTCTTTAGAAATTCAAGCTGGACGTTAGAAAGGCCGGCAGGCCTCTGGATAGCTTAAGAGTCTGCTTTTTCTTTGCCTTTAATTTTAAGAGATTTATTTAAGTCTATTTTTGCTATTACTACGATCCTTATCCAAACCTCTGTCTTCAACCTCCTCCGGATATCGGGCTGCCGCAGGCCCAATTGATACCTTGCCAGCGAACTTTCCTGCGACCGACCCGATATTCGATCTCATGAGATACTTTCCTGCTAGGAGACACAAGCCTCAGATTGATCCGACCTCATACGCATAATCTGGTGCAGCTTCGGACTGACCGGCCAAGATGCCTGTGCGACGACCCTCTGTGCAAATCCCCCAGGGTAAGTTAATGAGTTGGGTGTTGTTTTTGTCCCTTTTTGCTGCTAAATTAGACTGGAAGACCCACTACCTGTAATAACTTATAATAAAATAGTTACAGGGTCTTAACAAATCCAATTAAAAACTAATAGATACAAGTTAGATATAGAAGACCCAACCTAGAAATCCCAAGCTAAAGCCCTACCGGGTTGACTTATACTGTCGGTATATTTAAAGGGGGTAGTAATCGGCCTTCTTATCTCTAGATATACTCTAGGATAACCTCTTCTAACTTGCTATATTATTTAATAACCCAATATACAGTATAATTATAAGCCGAGGTCGTACCCGCACTAATAATAGTTCAGTTTACTATATCAGCCGACCTTAAGATTATAGCAAAAAGTAGCTACAGACTCCAAGCCTATATCAGTAATACCAGTAGACCTCAATAGTTATACAATTATGATATTCGGCTAGGCGGCAACGGTAATTTGGCTATCGAACGGGCGAAAAGGAAACTGCAAAGCTCCCTAAGTACTGAATCTAGCAGGAACAAGCTGGTTGAGATTTATAGTAAGAAGGCATGCCGCGCTCGCCATAGAGCCAGGGAAATGCGCAACGGAATTCATAACAACAAGCCCCGATTCCTCAAAGCGAGTAGGAGTACATCGTCCATCTCTCGAGAGACTGGCAAGTATCAGGAACGGCTAAGGAGATACAGGGGGGGCAACCGAACGGAGCCCGAGAGATCCCGAGGTGGCGCGCTTCAGCTGGACAAGGGGGACGGGACACAAAGGTCCACGTCAGCGGGCCAAGAGCAGATTTTGTTGGAAGAGAGGGAGGGAATGAAATGAGTGAGGATGGAAGGGGAGGAGGGGAAGGGGGTTCTTTATAAAAGCAGCGCGAGGTCGAGTGGTGGCGCTTTACCTAAAGCGGAAGGCGGTGGAGGGCGGCAGCGAATTTCCCGTCAGCTACTTCACACTCGCGGCCCAACAGAACGCAACCTTGTCACACAGTACGTCGGCCGGAATGCCATTCTTCCTCTCATTCTTTTGCTAATGCTTTCAGTGTCAATGGCCTCCTGCCATGCCGAGAATGTCGACAAAGCCGTTCGAGTTCTTTATTTCATGTTCCTTATCTTCACTCTGGCATCCTACTGCATAGTCTTTCCGTATTAGTGCGCATTTGAGTCTCGCGATCGACAGGCATCTGCATCTTCGCACTGCTCACCCATTGTCTGGTTCGATTGGGGGAGGCGGGGGAGACGGGTGAGACTGGTGAGACTGGGGAGATGGGTGAGACTGGTGGGACGGGGTGGTATCACAGGGTTGGCACCTCCTTCAGAAGGGAGCCTGGGCCTGTTGCACGACGGCCTGCTTTGCACTCTCTTTCTTGGACCTTCTCCCAATCCTCAACAGGAGACCGGCTTCAAGCAACAACCACTGTCTTTAAGTCAGCACCAACCAGAATTTCAAGCGCCATGGCAATGCATTTTGTACACTATTTTCCTCTTCTATCATATTCTTTGCGAATATAATCTGGGTTGGCCACTCCTGGTCTACATCCAGCACGCTAGTCCACCATCGCGATTGAGTATGTCTGCCGGAATCCGTTTGACCTTGCGGTACCTAAACACTCAGTGGTAAATATTTAATATTATTTTCTCCGATAGGTAATAGGTTTGCGAAGGTATAGTATTCGTAGGGGTTCAGTAGGAGCGCAGGAAATATTGTCGCCTCATCTTTCGGCCAAGGTGGGATCCCTCACATCAACCTCTGGGTCTCCACTTCGCGTGCCTCGTAAACCGCCATGGAAAATCGCCTCGCAAGTTCCTACGACCAACAGGGACTCAGTTAAATGCCCGACTAGCTCGGAGGACGTTGCTTTGACCACGCGATTGTGGCCGGGCCTAGCTCGGCGGGACGTTCTGGCTCTAACCAGCTTCAACGAGCGGCCGCGCCTTTTTTTTCCCTCATCGCTTGTCGCTTGGCCGGTGTAGCAACACCTGATTTTTCACCCCCACCCTTTCCATCAATCTCTTCTTCGCTGCGGCATCTTTCCATCATTCTTCTCATCGCACTTGCAAGCACTTGGGTCTTGACGGCAATCTAGACTCAACTCTCGAAAGAAATACCGACACGTCGCAACTCACTCTCCACCATGGGACAGCCATCGTTTGCGGCGTCCAACGCCATCATCTACCTCACCTATGGCGCTTTTCTGTGCGTGATGCGCTCCCAAACCCCCGCCGCGTTGACAGTGGGCTAACGATGGGCGATGCAGGCTACTCGGAACAGGCGTCGCCTGGAAAATGCGGAACCAGAGCAAGGAGGATTTCCTCGCTGGCAATGGAACCCAGACGGGTCAGAACTCTTCTCCCGTCGACTCTCGCCCATGGAGATTTGAGCAGATGGGATTGGTCTGCTTCACGCCATGGGCGGCCTCGACATCAATCCATCCCCCGTCCTGCGCACCTGTGGCTAACTGCGTCTGCAGCCTTCCCGCTGGCCTTGAACTTCATCGCGTCGGGTGAGTCGAGCATCATGCTCCCGTGACCCAGCGTCCCGGAGCGGTAGCATCATCTCTCGCAGCAGCGCAGCAATGAAACGTGTGGCCCACGAGGGCACCAATCTCAACCAACTTCCCGTCGAGTATGGCGCGAGCAGCGGCGGAACTGAACGAGCAGGTTCGTACCCAAACCATCCTATCTTCTCCCCCTCCTCGAGATGCCCTCGACTCTCTGATGCTACTGACCCAACCGGCCTCGCGCTGGAGCAGAACCAACTCCGCTCAGAGATGCATCTCGGGAGGGGGAGGGGATGCGGCTCACTACGGGCGCGGAGTCGACGTGGCCATGGCATCCAACCTCGGAGGTTCTATCCTGAGGAGATGTCACTGGCGCGGCGACGAAGCTGAGATTGTACCGTAATACTCGATCAAGTTAATGCTTGCGTGGGAAAAGTGTTGCCGCTCCAGAACCCTTGATTCTCTCCCCCTTCCGCGAGATGGAATACTGACTCGTGTAGCTCTCGGATCCGGCATCCTCTTTGCTTACCCGCAGCTCGCCACCATCTCGGGTGTCCAAGGCATGGTCGTGTACGCGCTGGCGTCGGCGCTGCCCATTCTCATCTTCGGCTTCCTGGGGCCCATCATCCGCAGCCGGTGCCCCGAAGGCTTCGTCCTCACCGAGTGGACCAGACAGCGCTACGGCACCCTGACGATGCTGTATCTCAGCTTCATGACTCTCGTGACCCTGTTTCTGTACATGGTCGCTGAGCTGTCGGCCATCGGCCAGGTTGTCACTGCCCTGACCGGCCTGGACGGACTTCCTGTCGTTATTGTTCAGTGTGTCATCACAACCATCTATACCTGTAGGTTTCTCTCTCCGATGTATCGGGATATTTACTAACCGCGACTACAGCCATGGGTGGCTTCAAGATTTCCTTCTTCACCGACGTCATCCAGGGAGGCATGGTTATCGGCCTTGTCCTCATCGCCACCATCACCATTGGCGTCAAGACGGAGATCAAGCGGGAGTTGGTCGAAGGGTCGGATCTCACCAAGGCGAACCTGCTCGGATGGCAGCTCCTGTACATCCTGCCCGTCGCCATCTTGACCAACGATTTCTTCCTGTCCAACTTCTGGCTGCGCACCTTCTCGTCCAAGACAGACAAGGATCTTCGACTGGGCACCGCCATGGCCACTGTGGTTATCCTGTGCATCCTCACTCTGGTCGGCGCCACTGGTCTCATCGCCGTCTGGTCCGGCGCTCTGGCGCCAGATGATGTCGCCGCGTCCGGGTCTATCGCCTTCTTCATCCTCCTCGAAACACTCCCCACCTGGGTCATCGGCATCGTTCTGGTCATGGTCGTGACTCTCAGCACTGCCGCCTTTGACAGTCTGCAGTCCGCCATGGTGTCGTCTGCGTCCAACGATCTGTTCCGCAACCGCATCAACATCTGGTTCATCCGCGGCCTGGTCGTGCTGGTCATCATCCCCACTGTCGTCCTCGCCCTGAAGGCGCCTTCCATCCTCCAGATCTACCTGATCACGGATTTGGTCTCTGCCGCCACCATCCCCGTTCTTGTCATCGGTCTTATCCAGAAGTTCTACTGGTGGCGCGGCTTCGAGGTCGTCGTCGGCGGTCTCGGCGGTCTGCTGACTGTCTTCATCTTCGGTACCATCTACTACGGCAATGCCAAGCAGGGTGCCCAGCTCCTCCTCATCGAGCAGGGTCTCTACGGCAATGACTGGAGTGCCTTTGGTGCCTTTGTCGCTGCTCCTGTTGGTGGCCTCCTCTGGGGCTGCGGTGCTCTGGTTCTCCGTCTCTCCGTTCAGTGGGTGTTGGCCAAGGTCCGAGGTCACCGTTTCACTGGCTTTGACCGCCCTATTGAGCGCACTCCTAGCGGAGACACGGATATTCCCACCGAGAACTTCATCTCTACTAGCCCTGGCAAGTTCTTCTAGGCCAGTCCTAGCCAAGTAGTGCCCTACCTCGATGTTTCTTAAAACAACTTGGTCTTTTTGGTCTACCAAATCGAAGGATATGGAGAGGTTTTGGACACCTAATCACACCAATGGCTCAAATTGGGTTCTTCTTCTTCCGTGGAGGCTTGGCTCTTTGCTAAAAGGCAAATACTTAGATTGATTTGGAGAGAAGTACTCTTTTGTACTGATTTCCGTTCGCCGGCCTCCATGCTATTCTATAGTACAGA